CCCCAACATGCCATGTGCCAAGCCATCCGAGTACAAATGGCCATGGAAGATCTAGCCATTGGGCTATGTGCCTGCCTGGTGCCAGACAAGGAATGTATAAGAACTCTCTAACAGCTGCTGGGTTTTACCACTACTACTAATGTCATCAGCAACCTCAGCAGGTCTGCATGGCCTGTGCTCAGCACATCACAAGCATTATTATGATGCAGTTACTCGGAACTGTAGACATAGCCTCTGATCTTGGCAGAGCTCAAGGATGCTTCTCCAGCCTACAAGTTTCTCTACTCAGGGGGATTTTCTCTTAACTTATTCCCAAGCAGAACTCAGATGTTTCCCTTCTGTTACCCACCCAAACAAACACGCAAAGGAAATTTCAAATGTGACATTAATTGCTTTTAATTAACATTTTGCCAGGCTGACCTCGAAATGTGATCCTCTCCATCTCTGCTAAGGGAGTAGGTGATGATATTAAAGGTTCAACTCAAGCTTGCTCTTGCAGGCAGACATTCTACCCCTTAAATCAAGGAAAAGTAACTTGTGTGGATGGGCCAGTGAATGAGCAAACAAGCAAATAGCTAGGTATCCCTTACTCAGTTTCCATGAATTTGATCCTCAGTGAAGCAGATGTGGCTGGCAGAGCAACACTCTTGCTGTGAGTGGAGGCAAACAGTTTTAATACTGGGAGGTTGCTGGACTCTTAGGACCACATTCCTTCAGAAGACCTTCTTTTGGTCCTGAGGATCTTAGTCTTATTTGTCAAACCAGGGCTTCTCTCAAGGAGGCAAAGGATAAAAGGAAGTTATTTTTGTTCCCTTGATGCATTCACTATCTATCTACAGATTTGTTTTTGTGCTGGAGCTGGGGCTTGACCTCATGCTTCTCACTCTCACTTGACTTTTTTGCTCAAAGCAGTTACTCTGCCACTCAGCCATTCCTCTGCTTCCCACTTTTTACTGGTTACTTGGAGATAAGAGCCTCATAATTTTTCTGCCCCTGTTGGTTTCAAACCTGGATCCTCAGACTTCAGCCTCCTAAGTAACTAGGACCTTAGGTTTGAATCAACAGTGCCCAGAAGATTCAAAATTTGAATAGACTTTTGGGAGGTGGTAGACTGTGACCAGTGGAGCTCCTTGAGTAAGGGGCTGAGCCCTTCCTGCTACTCCTCTCTGCTTTCCGGCTGCTACTGGGTGAATGGCTTTTCTTATTGTTCTTCCATATGATATTTCTGCCTTGACAGGGACCTAAAAGCAATAGAACCCGCTAATCATGGACTACAACCTCTTACACTAAGAGCCAAAATAACTCGTTGCCTCTTGAATTCTTTCTCTCAGGTATTTGTTACAGTGACCAGAATCCGAGTAACACATAAAGTAATATCTGAAAGTATGATTTGGCCATTATGAGCCTTAGTTTCCTATCCTATTAACTGTAACAGTAATAACTGGTTACTTTCTAACAGAAAACAATCAATTATTAGTTTTCGCTCTTATTACCTAGACCACATACTGATGTGAGAAGCATCTACAGCTTTGTTTCCTTTCTTTTTTTAAATATATACATTATTAACACCTGACTAGGAAAGGTGTTGATTAGCTGTTCACAGAACCCTCTGCCTAATCTAGCAAAACAGAGAGGTCTCATGGTTCTCCTTTAGGTGCTCTACCATGGCTTCCATGTTCTGGGCTTCTGGCCAGTACAGCCATGTGAAAGCCAATTTTCTGCTGGTGATCAGTTCTCGTCATCTACACTTATTCTTGGTGATTTCTGGTTAAAGCCAGGATGGTATAAGCTCACTGCCATTGACAGTGTGAGAGGTGTTGCGCTGTGCTGGGAAGGTGCTATGGGTTGAGGTACAGGGACCTTTCTATAGTGGAGCTCTCCCTCCTTTCCCCAGTCTAGCTTTTCTGCATGTAAGCATGAGCTGTGACGTCCCACTGTGACAGTCCCTTTGTTAAGGAGCTCCCGAGTTTCTGCTTCATGCCCTTACACATTAATATCGCCCCCAGAGTTCAGAAAGGAGCCCATATTTTTCCATGCCACTTCAGTGATTCATTTTGCATTCAGACTTTGATCCTGAGTTGCTTAATTATGTCCTATGATGGGTTTTTATGTCAAATGTCTCCCTGTTCCTGCTTCTAGGGCTGTATTTACAAATATTAAGATGTTTACATAGTGGTTAGTAATGTTGATCTCCACGGTTACTAACCAGCCTATGAGCTCAGCTTATACCTTTATAAATTTAAATTGTAAGTAATTTTAAATGTAATCTCTTCTAGTTCTTAGCAAAATATTTTTAAATGTTTGTCTGGCTGGAAAAGAAAAGTGCCAGTGAAATGATTGTAGAGAAGTCTCCATGTCCCGGGCAGCACAGGGCTGTCCATGCTTTGTTTGCCTTACTTTGAGCTGCTACTTCAGAGACTGTGCTTGTCTTTATCAATGTTTCATGGAAGCACAGAGCTGCTGGTAGTATGGCCTCAAGCTTCTGGCTTTGGACCAAGCCTGGTTGAAGTGGCTAGGAGTGATGCCATGAGGATTGAGGCATGTTATCTGTAATGAGAATAAATTCCTGCAGCTGAGGGCCACTGAGCTCTACACCACTCCTGGGCTGGGCATGATTCTTGGTGCCTATTTTAGAGCCCAATGAAAGTAGGCAATTATCATGTTCTCTATAATCAGCTGAACAGGATACAGGTAGCCACAAAACGGAGTTATTTAAAACAGTAACAAAATCACTTCAAAAAGGGTAATAATCTGGAAGTTTTTCTTTCTGCAACATCTAGTTAAGGGTGTCTACATGTAGAGAAGACCAGGAAGGTTCATTCTGTAACCTCCTCAGCAGCAGAGGTATCACAAAGCCCCCGTTTTGCAATGAAAGACAGAAGCCCTGGCCTGGGAGCTGCCTGGAGCAATTTAATTTGGCCTCAGCTTATAAGTAAGAGCCTTTGGGAAATGAAAATCCTGAGCTCTCTGCCAGCTGTGCAGCTGGGTGGTTACCATGGCAAAAGCCCCTCACAAGCCTAACCAGCTGGTTTTGCCAGCCAGCTGGCTCTGCCTGGCTGGGGACTTTCCCCACAGTCTTTTCATCTTGAGTTGTGAGTTGATTCTGGCTATGAGACCTCATCTTGAACAACATTGTTTTTGACCTTCCAGCAAGACAATGGAATGGGCCATAGGTCTTACTTCAAAGCATCTCTGAGAATCTTATCCTAATTCTGAGCAGAAAGCAGGCCAAAGTGGATCCAGCTTGGCCCCCAACTTGTCAACTTGTTCTGGCTCCTCCATTGGTTTGCTAGGGGAACTTAGGCACAATATTTGCACTGGATGCGACTCAGTTTGCCTCTCTGGAAAATTGAGATGATCAGAATCTATCTTGTTAGAATGTATTTAGAAGAATGCTTTGCTTTAGGTTACTCCATGAAGTTCAACAGGCATCAGCTATTATCATTATGATCCTTGGCTAAAATGCCCATGTATAAAAGTTGCAGAAGTGTCTCATAGTTACCTCTCACTCTAGAGAGCACCTGGGACTACCATAGCAAAGCTTAAGTCTTACTCTATAGTGCACATTCCAATGAGCTGAGGAAGCATGCTTGTCTATCCTCCAGCCATCTGGGTAAAACCTGAGTTTCTTCCAACTGCTCTAAACACCATCACATTAATTAATAGTGATGGTGAAAACATCCTAACATCCTAATAGCAGCAGGTGCAGCTTTGCCTTCTGCTGAATGTCTCCTATGACCAAGTACTATACTGAATTCAACACAGACTACCTTTTTTAGCCCTGAGGAGCACCTTTCAAAGGAGTAATTGTTTTCACCATTTCACAATATGAAACTGAGGTGTCAAAAGTTTAAATGGATGAGTTACAGTTTTATAACTGGTGTCAATCCCAGTTTCAACGAGAATGTCACACTGCTGTTCTTGGGCCTTTGGGAACAATATAGAGTTAAGAGCCTAAGCATGGTGTCAACTGTACACTACTGGTTATTTGGTTGTCAGAGCATCTCTGTAAGTCATTTGACATATGAAAAAATGAAATATGAAACTGGGTGCTGAAATCCTAGCTACTCAGGAGGCTGAGATCTGAGGATTGTGGTTCAAAGTTAACCCAAGCAGAAAAATCCATGAGACTTATCTCCAGTAACCTAACAAAAAGCTGTAAAAGGAGCTGCTATTGCTCGAATAGTTGAGTGCTGGCTTTGAGCAAGAAAGCTAAGGGATAGTATCCAGGCCCTTAGCACCAGGACCAGCACACACACACACACACACACACACACACACACACACACACACACACACACACACACACACACACAGAGGCATGGCAATATGATAAGCAATTTAAGATCAAACTTTGTATATATTATGTAAAAGCACCAACTGCTCAATCAGGCACAGCCTGCATTAATATCCACCATCCTCTAGCCACAGGTACTGCGCTCAACCCTGTGCTCTCTCACCTGACTCTCGCATAAGAGATAAGCAGAAGGAAATACAGAAGACAATGCAAATTCTTGCCAAGAAATTGCCCTGTATAGAGAGACCTGTAGGACAAGGTTGGGGACAGAGGCACAATGGGCCAATGAGGAACCGGTTAGAATTGTCCACTGTTCCCTAGAGCTTGAGAAAGTTAAAGATCCTGTTATTTCTTAGTCCAGGGTCTCCTTCCCAGGGATCATCCACCATGGAGATCAGAGCCCATGTCCAGTTCAGAACTCATCTTCTCTCTGGAGTATCCTGGTTCCTGCAAATCAACCTTATTTCAGACCAAAATGGCTATCAAGTTGGCAGGCTTTCTCGTCTCACTCTACCTTTCCCAAGAACATCCTCCCAAGTTCTAGAGGGTCACACGAGTCTTCCATGTTCCTTGTTCCCCAGGGTACACTGCATTTGTGACTGGTATACTCCGTGCTGGTAACAGCCCTCCAGGCTGGTACACAGCCCCATTTAGGTCCTATGTTTTCTCAATTTGTGAAGCTCCTTTCCCTTCTTTGCTCTAGAATTACCCTTTATGACTATCAAGCCATGTGCAGAGCCAACAAGGAAAGCAGTGACAGTGCCCATGGACTCCTGGATGTAAGTACAGTGCTGGCACCCTGCTGTGCCTTGGTCTTTCCCTCTGTGAGACCGTATCTCCCTCTTTCAACTCATCAGGTTTTCAAGACCATGAGTGTTTAAAAATATTTCCTGGCTTTATTTATTAAGAAAAACTGCTTCTTTTTTTAACCCCAACCTGAAGGCTTTGGTTATTTAATGCAATAACCCACTTTTCATGGAGGAGCAAAGAGGACATTTTTGCCAAATTTCTTTAAGAATTTTTGCTTTTGTTCAGCAGAAATCGTCCCTTTTGGTTTATAATAGAACTGTTAGCCCACAAATGAATTCATATTTTGATGACAGACATTATTCCCTGATCAAGTTATACTTCTTGGAGCTGGGTTTGTTGATGATGTTATGATTTCTAATCAAACAACAAAGTACTGTAACTTTAGAAACTGCCAGAAGTTAATGGTTACAGTTTACTCCCAGGTTTTAAATTGTCATTTACAAAGTGCTAACATTGTCACTTTAACCACCAGTTACCTAAAACACAGAAAGAAAAAAAAAAGATATGCTTTTATATAATCCACATGTATGTCTAAATATAGCCAAAACTTAGCCTAAAATTTGGTTTAAAAACAAGATTTTAAAAGTCATTTTTGGTTTCCAAATATATACACCTTTTATCTTCTGAGAGGCCTTACAAGGAGATGCTTTAAAAAGCAAGTATTTAATTTGATTTTACTATTATGGGAGAGCAAGAGAGGTTCAGAGCTGGAAATCTTCTGGAGCAAAAAAGAGCCGGATGTTTTGAAAAAATACCAGTTTTTACTGTGATGGTGTCTTTCTCTAATCTTAGCAGGAATGTTTCCAGACTTTAAAATGTTCCCAAGATAAGTTTTCACTATTTGGCTTAAAAGCTCAATGGCTTTATTCTTCTGAGTGACAATGTGAATATAAATTTTTAATCTCATATCTCATATTTACATAATCTCTCTTTATTTAGCATAGATTGAGAAGGCATGGGGGGGGGGAGCATCTTTTCCCCTGGCCTCAGGATGAGCTGGCTCTATGCCAAGCCTCTAAAGCTTCTTGACTTCTTTATTCATTTTCTTATCCTCCTAGCTCTGCCTCAGGCTATGTACCTAAGGGACACGGTCCTGTGGTCTGATCACCTGGGTGTTAAAGAAAATATGATTTTTTGAAGTTAAAATGACAAAACCATGATTCTGCAATAATGCATTTGTTTAAAAAAAAATAGTTGGAAGTTCACATGCTTATTTGACCCTAATCCTCGGGGCCCAAGAGCCTTCTGATTCAGAGAAAGATGTTGAAATAGTTCAATCAGAGCGAGAGATATTAGAAGTCAGAAATCTGTGTGGGCTAATGGGTACTCTAACCCCCCGGTATTTTTTTGTTGTTGTTTTTGTTGTTCCTGCTCATTTACTTTCTGGCCCCAAATAGAATGGCTAAGGGAACCTCGGTTTGTCCTTGTGTTATTTACAACTGGATGAAGTCCCCCTTCCCAGTTCTAGTTCTTACAATTAAAATGTTCATGGAGTAGGATTAAGTAGCATTGCCTCAGAAACCAGAGTTTGGCAGACTTTTCAAGTCTGTGACACCTAAACACAGCCATAAAAGGTTCTGAGATTTTTCTGGACCTGACATCTGGAGCCCAGAGTTTGCCAGTGTCTTTGCCTGTTCCCCCCAGTCCACCTACTACTTACATATCTGGCATACCTAGGTACAAAGAGCCAACTGAGGGGGAGAGCTGGTATTTTCCAGAATTCAGGAAATTGAATTATCCACATAGGAAATATCACAGAGTAAACAATCTGACTTCTCTTTTTTAATTAAAATATTCTGAAATAAAGATTAAGCTGTCAATGCCTTCTTTTATAGATTTTCTGCAAGGAGAAAAAAAATCACATGTTTATATGGTTATCATTTTTTTTTTAAAGTCCAGTATGTAAGTGTAAGAAAAACTAGCTCAAATCCTACATAATTCATGGGAGGCATTAAAAATCAAGTATATGGCATTTGTGCTTATTTCTATGAATGACACACAGTGATAGAGAACACAGAATCACCTTTCCAAAAGGGAGTTCTGTGAATTATCATTTGAAATTAGTTATTTGATTCCAGCCCCTGAGCATTAGGCTGTGAAATATTAGCCCCTAGAGGGTAAAGGTTTAAGCATTGTTTGTTGAACTTCCTTTTTCCTCCCAGTGATAACCCTTGTATTAGAGCATGTTTATTTTACTAGTAAATCACATCTCACTACAGGAGAGTTCAAAGTTTTAAAATGTTAGTTTTGGGATACAGTATCCAACCATTTTCTTCCTTTAGCTAGAGAGTCTCTGTTTTTTAACCTGATATCAATCTCTCTAGAAGAATAACATTGTCTTAATGTAAAGCCTTAAGTCAGACTGCAAAGTTTTTGTGTGATACATTGTTTGTAATGGATTGAATTCTTCCCTCCAGCCTTATAATGCCTTCCTTTCTGCAGTGAAGTGGATAATGACAGAACTTGTCTTGTAAGTACAGTCCTCTGGGTTTTTATTTTTATGTAGTATTGTTTTTCTTTTTGTATTCTGATGTGAATTGGGCGATTGGTTCCATGCATTCAATAACCATTACATTTTATAATACTCTGAGGTAAACTCACTGAACATCTCAAAATAATGAAGGCCAAAAAAAAAAATATATCTTTTGTTGTTATTCAGGATCACTCCTATGCCCTTATGTCACTGTTTAGCAGACTAACAGCTTGCAATATACAATCCGAATTTATTTATTGTGGTTACTGTTAAATTTAACATGGATGTCTGGATGTTTTTAATGCAGCTTGGGTGGGCTGTGGTCAGAACACACTGCCATGCTGTCCACAGCTACTTGGGGTGTCTCAGCTCAGTGCAGGGGCGGGGGAGGGGGCTTGCTCATGAGGGAGCCAGAGAAGGCTGGGGACTTTTCCCAGGTGCAATTTAATTGTTTACCTTGTCAAATTCTGGTCCTCTTTGGAAGATGTTGGATGCTTCTGTGACTTATGTCAGACTTGAGGTGTCACAAAGATGAAAGGCTTGACTTCCAGAACAGATACTGGACACGTTACAGCAAAACTGGGTTACAGGAAAGCAGATATTTCCAATGGACAAGCATGTAGACCAGATTGATTAGTTGCACAAAACTCTCTCTTCCTTCCATTCCCCTCCAAGACTCCAATTCTTTGAATTAAAGGCAGATTCTTGCCATTTAATGGAACCTATATTAGTTTAACCAAGTTGACCTGGACCGGAAAAATGAATGAATAAATTTGGGCCTATGTCTATGTCATTTGAAGGATGTTTTATATTATTTTATGTCTTTTAGTAGCAAATTAGTAAATTTTGATTTTTCTGAAATCAGACTGGGTTACCATTTCATAAAAAGAAATTTGTCTCCCATTTCTCTTACACACAAGGCTTTATCAAATTGAACTTGCAGCATGAATTTTATAAGCATCCTTTGTTACTATAGACTGTGGTCTAGGAAGAGAAGAACATTCCATTTGTATTTCTGAGCTGAGGCAGGACGAATCCCTTTACAATGTCCTTGTTTATTGTAAAATCATACTAGATGGTATTAAGAGCAAATGACAAGTTAATAACAACTAGAAAATGATTTCTGCACAAACCACAGGATATTTCTCAACGAGGAGTCCTTGAGTCTAGGTGAGCTTGACTTGGGGTTTAGCCCAGCATTGACGGTAAAACAGCCTTTTACTCAGTAAGATAACGTCTGGTGGAAACTCAGTGGGAACACAACGAGCCGTGTTGAGGTCTCCAAAGTGTGATGTTATTTTTGCAAATGAGGTGAGCAGCACCAGACAACACAGAATGTCACTGTTCTAGCTAGGAGGTGGATGACCAAGTAACGCTGGGCTTTTGCACCATCTGTTTAGGTTCCTGGTGGAATTTAACCTCTGCAGTTGGTGGCACTCTGATATGACAGCTAAAGGTAAGCAGTAACTGGTGTCTTTTTCCCCAGAGTGATAAACCCAGGGTTCACTGCCTATTTTTCATCAGGGATGTGCTGGCTTGCAGAAAACTATGCAGGACAACTTGATGACTTTCCAGCTCTGTCAGCAAAAAGCTGTCTGTTGTGCTGAGTGTTATGCCATCCAGTCCGAAACAAAATTCCACCAGCTTTATTCTGCCCTATTGAGTGTACACTTTGACCTGATTTTCTTAACTAAGTCTTTGGGGCCCTACGGGGCCCAGATAAATTCTTCAGAAAGCTGGGGAGCAATCCTGAATGAATAAATAACAACTTTTCCTGTTCTCACAATACTCATGAAAATATAAATCAGAAGCTTCCAGTGATTTGAGCAGTAGTTAATAGAGACTTCTTATATCCACGAGTAATGGAGTTAGGTCAGTATGTATTTGAGTCTGGCTTAGAGGCTAAACTTTCACAATATCTTTCCTCAGCTTAGTTTCCTCATGATGAGAAGAAGGATATCCCTTAGAGAGTATATGTGTGGGCAATGAGAGAATACATTGTGTTATAGGCTCACCAGAAACTGGCACATTAGATGTCAACTCTAGTTAATTCCTGATAATAGTGATGACAGTGATAACTCTGACAATGATGATTACCTTTGAAACTAACATACTCCTAATAAGCATTGTCTCCCAGTGGTCTTTCCCACACTTGCTCAGTCAACTACTATCTTTTTTTTTCAAATACACTCAGTTTCTTTCTTTTCTTTGTGTATATACTCATTCACATTCATTTTGTTAATCTGGAATGCTTGAGATTTGCAGTTTAGTAGCATATCATTTTTTAAAATGAGATCAATAAGTAATGTATCAGCATTCACCCAGGAACAAGGGATAAAATATTTTCTTTCCTCCTTTTGATACCAAGTTACTAGAATTCTAACAGTAACTCAGGAAACATACAATGCTTCCTAGTTGTTCTTCCTTCCATCTTTTCACCCATGATTCCCAGATGTTTCTTAACATTATAGTGGCTGATTGTTTACTTGTTTTACATGAAACTGCAATTTCACTATACAAAATGTTACAGCACTTAATTTGGCTTTCTGCATATAGGGACTTAATCTCTGTTTCTTAAATATGCATACAAGTCATCCTTGGGCAACACATGACCATTATTGTCTCTAGCCCCTCCTTGCTGGGTCAGTATCAATTTTGAATGACAGTGAGTACCCAGAGTCCCACTTTTAGAAATTTAGCCTAAGGGAATTAGCTGAGATGAGATCAAAACTGGGTATGGGTATGATAATTATCATTTTTAGGGAATTTATGATTGCAAATAATGGCAATTCTAAGTGTCGACCAATAGGAAATCTTAAAACTACAACCCATCTATAGAATGTAAAGTATGTTATTTCTGCAAGGGATTTTATGTTTTTGTTTGTTTTAGACAAGATCATGCTATTTACCCCAGGCTGACCTAGAACACTACCCCAGTGTGGTTTTGAACTCTTCATCCTCCTGCTCCATAACTGGATTATAAGTGTGCACTACTCCCCCGTCTCTGCAGACTTTTTAATGACATTGAAAAATATTCTCATGTGGCTGGCTAGAGTATTATCTATCTGTAGTCACAGCTAACTGGAAGGCTGAAGCAGAAGCCAGGTGTTGAGTGCTATCACCCCCTCAAAAAATCCCCCACAAAATCAAGTAATAAAACCTAAAATATAAAATTGTACAATGTACCAAAAAAAATCTCTCTAATGGGAGGAGGGGGAAGGAAAATGTGGAGCTAAGTAAGATTCTCAATTAGTTAGGTAAACAGAGGACCAGTAGACAGAGATCAAAGGAAGAATTAGGGAAAAACTATCATGAAAAGAAATTTTACTGTAGTATAAATCTACTTTGATTCAAAATTGCACATAGTTTGCAAAAGAAATGAGAAGGCATCTATTACATAGGTACTTGTTATTTTTTCATTTTTATAGGACTAACTTTTCCAACATTTTACATAAACAGGCTAAATTTAAAAAGGCAAATGAGATTACAAGGAAGAAATGCATTAATAGTGGTCAAAGAAATGGTTATGACAGCTCTCTATATTACCATTGACAAATCCCCACATATTCCAAATAACACTATGATCACTCAGAAGCCAGGGTAGCTGTTCTGCCCGTGAATGATTGTTCTGGATTTGAACACCCCTCTTCCACCTTTGGCTAATTGGGAAGTCCTGAATGTGATCACTTGTCTCTCTGGACTTTGTTTTCCTCATTTATCAGTGGTGATAACAATAGACATAATGTGCTTGTGAAAGATAAAATGTGCAAGTCCTCTGGTTATGAAGGTGAGTACAGAGGTAGGGCTCATCAGGAGGAAATGGGTCACTTGGGGTTTCTTCGGGACTGTACTTTGTCTCTGGCCTTTCCTGTTCCTCTGTCGTAAGATGAACAGTCTCCTCCCGCACATGTTCTTGCTACCACGCTGTCCTCACTTTAGCTCCAATGTAATGGAGCCAACTAACTATGGAGTAAAACCTCTGAATGTGAACCAAGTAAATCATTCCTTCTTTTAAATCGTTTCTCTCAAGTACTGGGTCACCATGACAAAAAGACTGACCAGCACAGCACTGAAGATAACCAGCTTATTGTTCCTCAGCCCTGAGTACACTAAGAAATAGCCAGGTGTCTTAGTCAAAAATTATCACCTCTGAAAATTTCCATCACTTCCAAAAGTAGTGCCACCAACCTGGCTGCAAGCATTTAACACTTGAACTTGTGGCAGACATTTCATATTCAAATTATAACTTTCAGCTAGACACTTAGGGTTTATGCTTATAATCTTAACTACTCAGGAGACTGAGATCTGAGGATTGAAGTTCAAAGACAGCCCAGGCAGAGAAATCCAAGAGACACCTATCTCTAAAGAGTGAAATGTCAGAAGTGTGGCTCAAGAGGTAGCACATCAGTTCCATTCAAGGTCTAGTACTCTCTGTCACACACACACACACACACACACACACACACACACACACACACACACGCACGCATGCACGCATGCACGCATGCACGCATGCACGCACGCACAATCCCCTCCTCTCCCAATTTTCCACTCCTGGTTCATCACCTTTAAATCTAGCCTCCATCAAAGTTTAGGGTGTGGACAAAATACTCACCTTGAACTGTTTTATTTGAGGTGTTTTTTTTCAGGGGGGGGCACCTTAGACATCTCCTCATACTCTTCGTTTTGATCTTAGATTCAATGCTTATTTTTTAGTTTTGTGGAATTTAAGTCACTGTGATCTTTGCCTAAGTCAGTGATTTTCAACAGGGAGCCATCAATTCTGCCTTCCAAGAATCTCTGCAATATCTGGAAACATTTTTTGTTTTATAACTTGCTACTGGCAAGTGAGTAGAGGCTAGAGATTCTGTTAAATATACTGCAATCCATAAAACAGACCCCAAAACAAAATATCAGTAATGCTACTGCTGAGAAGTCATTGTGTGGACTAGCAGGGCAGAGGGTGAGGAATAAGAAGGATATAGTCTTTGTATGAATTCTAGATGCATTCTCACCCCACCACAGCTAGTCCAACATTTGTCTAAATTTTAGTTGTTGAAAAGGAGTATTGAGATGCTTTAATTCTGTTTTCTATCACAAGGGTCTTAGTAGCTTCCTAATGGATAGATAATTCCAAAGGCCTCCTCACTCTACTTCCATACTGTGAGAATTTCTTCCTAAAGAATATAAAATGCCCTTGTCCAATAACTACATTGCTTCCATGTGGTATATCAATATAGAATGGTTTGGCATTTCCCGAAAGCTGGTAATCCTGTTGAAATTATTATCAAACCCTTCAACATACTAGAGAAGTGGACATTGATAGGCACTTCAGAGAAAGCTAGTCATAAATTATAAGCTATAATATATATAATATATATATTATATATATAATATATAATAATATATAGGTGGGTGCTTAGATTCATAGATGATAGCTATCTGGTATGTGTAGTGGATGGATAATGACTCAGACCTAAACCAAAATATGCCTTCCACCAGGATATTGATTTCCATTTTTTGCACCTAGATGTTGAGCTGGATGCTATATTAGAACTGTCATTCAGACCTAAAGTCATCTACTGGGCAGGAATAGGATAGATGAATAGGATACATGGAGGCAAGTTAACTTATCCACTGATGTCTTATTTAAAGGAAATATAAATCATAAACCAGTGTAAGATTGAAAAAGTTTCAACACCATATTCATTTGCAAGATCTCTTCATCTTAAGTCTACCATTCCCTCGCTAGATAAAAACCCTGAACGTAGACATACATCTTTGTTTCAGCTAAAAATGGAATCCATAATTACACTGTTTATCTGCTTTGTTTCCTTAATGAAGGGGACTGTGGAAGCCCATTTCTGCTTGATTATCACAAAGGTATCATTTTGTGAAGTTGCACAAAGGGAATGGGAGCTTGCTGGCACCCAGTCATGAATGGGAATGCATTCACAGAGACAAAAAAAAAAAAAAGAGGAAGGCTTTTAAAATGGCAAATCTATTCACTCCCAATTGTCTGCACATAATTGCAGTGAACCCAAGTCAGTAATTCTCATTAGGGACATTTGTTGCTAAGAGAAAATTAAAGAAATTCAATTGTGTGGATGCTCTATTGGATGCTTCACAGTGAGTAGCAGGTCATGGTGACCTCAGCTTTAGATATCCACTATCCCCAGGGAAGGAAGCAGAGTGGTGTGACAGTAAAGACTGCTCACATCTGGACTGTACCACTCACAGCAGTGTTACTTTGGGCAAAGCATCTTAAGTTCACTGAGATTTTGTTTCTTTATATGTAACAAGGAATAGCAGAGCCTCACTCACCATGTAGTGATGAGGATTCATTCATACAAATGACCTGGTACTGTGTTCAGTATGTAGCAAGTGCTTAGAGAGCATTGGCTACAAAGGTTTTGGTTGTTTGTTGCCTAAATAATAATGGTGGTGGACTGAAGTCATAGCTTAGTGGTAGAACACATATCGCATGAAAAAGATCTCAGGTTCAATTCCCAGCACTGGAAAAACAAAAGAAAAGTACATGATGTATCACTCCCTATGAGACATAGGACAATCTGATGTTTAACTTTCAGTTCTTTTTGGAAACCGAAGGAACTGCTCTAGCAGAACACCATACTATATGTCTGTACTTTTGTACGACTGTGAGTTTTCAATGCCCAGAATTAAATAACCCAACAGACTGGTGTCAAATTTGGCTATTGGTTTGAAGTTCCACAGATAACAGTAGTGCCTGGAAAATATGTAGGGTGTTTTCTGTAGCACTCTAGATAAAGAAAGGTCCATGTTATTTAGATCCAATGTGGCCATGGTTTTATATAATTTGTACATTTCCCCAAAAGCACATCAAATAACTTCCAGCCAATCTGTAGTCATGCTGCAAATAGACTCAACGTTTATCACCACATCAACCAGGGAACCATACAATTGTCAAAGGAAAAGCATTTCATTTCCAGAAAGTATCATGGCCAAATGAGTTTTGCCATAGGAAGGATTGGACTCATTCCACTGAAGCTGAGCCCAGGCAATTAGAATTAGAGATGGTGAAATTATTGGGCTTATTTAAATCATGTGTATGTGAGTGTGTGTGTGTGTGTGTGTGTGTGTGTGTGTGTGTGTGTGTGTGTGTGTGTGTGTGTACTGCCTCACTGTTTGCCCCAAAGACATTTTCTTTCTTCCTTTCATTGGCTCAACTCCACAAAGCAGAGAAACATATGTGCTACAGACAAATAGCTCCAGTTTAAATTTTCTCTTTGCCTCCCTGGGCAAATTGTTTATTCCAATCCTCTTGCCTCCACTGAACTGTCTGCAGGCAGAGATCAAAATTGTTCCTACCTCAGTTTATTTTTTAATCTCATATTTTATTATTGCATAAATTAATACATGTAAAGCACAACAGCATCTGGCACACAGAAATTCCATAACATAGCTTCTTCCATGTATAGATTTTATATGCTATTTGCATATGGCATATATACTAATAATCTATGACTTTGTGTAATTAACCTTTATTTCACTTTGACTCATTTTTTTGAAATTCAAAGTTCTTTAAAGATAAAAGGGAACTTTTTTATAATTTTTTTTTGTTGTTTGTAGACCTTGAACTCTGAGCCTGGGCCCTGTCCCTTCAGCTCAAGGCTAGAGCTCTACCACTTGAGCCACAGCACCACTTCCAGTTTTCTGAGTGGTTCATTGGAGATAAGAATCTCACAGTCTTTCCGCCCAGGCTGACTTTGAACCGTGATCCTCCTATCTCAGCCTCCTGAGTAGCTAGGATTACAGGCATGAGCTACTGTCCCCTAGCTAAAAGGGAACTTCTTAAATTCAAAATCAGAATTGTTCTCCATAAAAAGAGATTAAAAGAATAACAACTGGACAGCGCCCAGGCCCAGAGTTCAAGTCCCACAACCGCCAAAAAAAAAAAAATTAAAAGAATAACAACTGAGAAAATGTTATCAAATTGTAGCCAGATCCAATGAGGTTTTAATTTCATCTCCCCAAGATAAAAAGACAGAAAAGTAAATGAAAGAAATTGAGGTACTCAACAGATTAATGGGTTTTTAAAAGCATGGTGTATACCACGGAATATTAACACAGCCATAATGAGAAATACAGTTATGCCATTTACACAAAAATAGATAGAACTAGACTTTATATGGAACAAGATATAACAAGCTCAAAAAGTCAAGTATCACAGGGTCTTGCTCAAATGTGGAATCAAAATAATGAAGGTGATGCTAGTCATGAGACTTAAATGTAGAAGGACTGCTGGGGGGAATCAGCTGGAGGGGAGAAAGGAAAGGAAAGGGTATTGAGGAGTGAAGAGGATCGAAGTGCATACATAAATATGAAAACAGCATAATGCAATCCACCAAACAACTTTAAAAAGGAAGGAAGGATGGCATCTAAGGAACACAATGGAGGGAGCAAACTCGTTCATAGTACATTGTACCCATCTAGGGAATTAATACAGTGAAACCCTCTTGCATTGATGTATACTCATTCAAAAAGCAAAATAATAATAATAATATTTAAAGGCTTTGTGTTGACAACTTAACAAATGGCTCAGGAATTCTGAACTCTTTCAGAATTTCATGAATCTAAAAATTACATGAGATTTTCCATGATTTTGAGATCACTTCAAAGTAAAAGTCATCTTTAATATATAAAAATAAGTGGTAAAAATTTCCTCCTCACAACACAGAGACATAGAGTAAGAGCTGGGAAAATGAGATTCTCACTAAATGTTCCTCTGGGTTGTGACATGGGCCTGGGAGATGATGTTACCTGTCACCTGAGGGGAAGGTAACTTGCCATGGCACTGAGGATCCTTATTCTTTGTCTACTCATTGTAAAGCACCATTTGGGAGCATCATTAGCTTGGTGGCCCTTCCCAGGAATAGTACTGCCAGGTACTGGGGATTGGACAGTACTGATTGCTAAGACCTTATAACCATTGGAATCAGATAGACAGCCATCTGCTTGAAATTACTACCCAAAAAGAAATGGCTAGGAAAAGGCCAGAGGAGGAAAGAGAAAAGTCATGGAGCAGCAACAGCCTACATTTAAATAGGACTCACAGTGTGGCCATGACTTCCAAATGGTTCGCATGCAACCACATGAACTGGGTGGAAAGGAGGACACTAATAAGTAGAAAGGCTAACCACCCAGCTGATGTCACACAGCAGTAGCAGAATGCATGCTGGTGGTTACTACTTAGCTCTGTATCTGCCATTTTATGCAGTCTGTATATATGTGCATGGCATGTGTGTAGACGTTATGTGTCACTCTGTTAGGACATGCACATGCTTTCATCCATTTATGCCATTCCATTTGAGGTGATGATAGGCATCTCATCTTAATATAACTGACCCATTCTTGAAGTCTCATGCTCTGGCTACACTAAGAAAAACTGTATTATATTTCAACCCCAAAATATTTTCTCCTGGTAAAGAGAACTCAATGAAAGAGCCTTTCCATAAGAAACAATCATGTTAGTATATAAATGCTTTAGTGATCATCCAACAATTACCTAATTGCTAGCCAACAGTCAGTCACACTGATGGCACTCAAAGCCACAGTATTCCAGGATGGACAGCATACCATGCATGGTTCTGACATTCAACTAGAGATATCTGGAATGTAACTTCGGAAGTTGCAATTACACGACGCTTTGTTACAACCCTCCTGTTTGGGAATTACAAACATAAATCATATATTCCTATATAGACAGTGTCCATAAACTTTATACAAAGTTGGTATGTCAGAAACCTACAAGCATTCTATTGGGAAAATATTAGTGAGCAGGCTTCCTGTAAAGTGTACCTGTTACCACTAGCATGCCCATTTTACAGGTAAGAAAACTGAGGACTAGCAAGACGAAGCAGAGCGGGATTTTTTTCCAACTTGTCTTAAGCCTTAACCACTGTGCTGTAGGAGCCATCATCATTATGGTCATGATGGCAGTGTTCTACTGCTTATGCTGTTTCTGTCATGGATCTCATTATTATTTAGCATTTCAGGTACTAGACCAAATTCCTAAAATATATTGTTTCACTCACTTCTCACGTCAATTTCTGAGAGAAGACCTCTTAATCTTATAGTCTACAAATAAGAAAACTGAGACTTTTTTGATCATATTCACGGGACATAAACTATTTAAAATAATTTAATTGACTACCAAGTCTTTATAGTGTGCCTACTATGTGCTCCTCCATGTACCAGGATTATTTAGTGCTTTGAAATTGACATGATATTATTGGACATGGAACTTCATAAATAGTAGGATTTGGTTTAGAGCTGTGCTTCAAAGACATTACGTATTTCACTATTATACATTTCAGTGTTCTTTGTACAATAAAACCGTGCAATTGTATCATGAACTTTGTCTCACCTTAAATAATACGCCATAGCTTTTGTACATTTCTTCAGATGTACATATGTGTGGCTGCTAAACCTAAGTGAATCTGAGGCCAGAGAAATAGAAAATAGAATTCTTATGATGCATAAATGATAGCTGATCAAGCCAACACAACTGCTTCAGGAATTATAGCTTATAGAGTTGCTTGGCAGACGAAATCACTTGACTAATTAGAAAATAATGCATTATGCTGTGCCTAGAAAAATCTCAGAGCAGCAGAAGCAGAACTGCATTCTGAGTTGCTGTGGGCTGTTGGGCACAACACCGAGCCTGTGAATTGCATCCTTCATCCCTTTTCTTTTGTTGTTGTTGTTGTTCCTGTTCCTCCAGCCCAGAAACTGAAACAGACCCTGGAGCCTTGTGATACTGAATATCCTGCCTTTGTCTCTGAGCGCACCATCAAGGAGACCACTGGGAACATTGCTTGTGAAGACTGCACCAAGTAAGCCATCTCAGCTCAATTTCCTCTTCCCTGCCACATACCCCTTTCTGCTTAGTATAAAACTGACTAGACAGGACACACAGTTAACACTGAGAGGGCAAAAGGCATGGCTGCCCTCTTGCATGAAGGTGTATTTCTAGCAACTTGGAAGAAGCATCATTCAGTCTTGTTATGTGTGTCCAGGGTTGGTTCAGAAGCATTCAAAGCATGTGACAAACATCTTAGCACATAGATTGCTGTTGTTGTTGATATTTGAAGAAAGCCTTAACTGGCATTTTCCTAAGTGATACTTGGCAATTTCAGCTCTGAGTTCAAAGAATGTCTTTAGATCTCTTTATTTCAGGTACCAAGGTTTCAGATTCAGCCAAGTCCCTTGTAGTGGAAATGGTTTCCTCAATGGTTCAATGTGCTTTTCCCTTTTTACTAATATAATAAAGTGTCTTCTATTAGTTTTATTGGTCATCTTGGAGTTTCTGATCTCCTCATTCCCATTGGGCAGTTCCCTGTTGGGGTAATTTGATCTATTCTTACTAATTTGGATATTTTGTATTTTGGATACTATTTCTTTATAATTATCCTCATTGTATTGTATATGTGTTTTCCTATTCCTAGGTTACCTCTTCATTTTTTATGTATGTTTTTGATGCATTTAAGTTTTTTTTAATATAGTATTATTTATTCTTTGGTTTGTGAATTTTGTTTCTTGGTTTAAGAAATTATTCTCTGCTCTAATAGCATAATGATACTGTCTTATACTTAAAAATTATCTTTAAATATCTGTATAAAGGGGTTGCCATTTAACAAAGCAATTTATGAATACATTATATCATGGTCAGTGACATTCCTTTTATTCTAAGTACTTTAATATGTTGCCTTCATATTTAGAACTATAATCTCAATGGATTTTGCTTTTATGTGTGGGTAAGTGGTATGAGATAGGATTCTGATGTGGTCCTTTTTGAAATAATTGGCTTGTGCTTTATTTTTTTTGAAGAGGGAAAGTGTTTGGGATCAAACCTAAGGCCTTGTATATTTTAGACAAGCACTCTTATTAATCTGTATTTTTTATTGAATAATTTTAATTTCCAGTCATTTTATAATGACATCTATAGCCCATCTCTATGCAGATTTGTTTCCTGACCTTATGGTTTGTCAATTCTTACACCAATATCATGTCAGAGTTCATTAGTAGTTAAAGTTTTGTAAGATGACTATATGAGGCCATATATCCTTACCATAGTTTTTGTTCATCTAAGTTATATTGATACTCTTTAGCTCTTTATTATTTCATATTTTGGAATCAGCTAAGGTTTTCATTAGTTACAGACTAATTTGAAGATAATTGTTATTTTTAAATAATGCTTGATCTTCCCATTCATAAACTAAGTAGATATCCTTATTTATATGTACATTTCTATGTCTTCACTCACCTTATAATTTTATTTATTTACAAAAAGTTTACACTTTTTGAATAAGAGAGTAAATTTAAATGTAGTTTTCTAATGTGTTACACTAATATGTGAGAATATCACTTTTCTATCTGTATTAAATATCTTCTAGCCAACAAATGGATAAATGCTTTAGATCTACTAGTTTAGATCTAATTCTTTGACTTCTTGCATTAGCAGTTATGGCATATGTGAACATTTTCCTTTCTAATCTCCATACTTAATTATTGTTTTGTGGTTTATTGCATTAGGCATGATACCTTACTGAATAGATGCAATAAGTGTAGTCAACCATGACTGATTCTTAATTTAAATAATTGTTCCAATAATATCATGTTATGTGTGCATTTTCTTTAATTGTAGCAAAATATAAATAATGCAAAACTTACTTCAGCCATTAATAAGTGTGCAATGCAGTCAGATTTGTGCAGCTATTTTTATTACTTCTTTCTAGAATTGCAATGGAATTTTGTTACTTAAGCATTCATTCATTTAAGAAAAACTTCCATGAGAATTTATGTTGCTCTGGTTATTATTTGAAGCCTGGATTGATGTTAAATTTTATGAAAAAAATATTTGTATATTTTAAAATAATTTCTTTTAAATTATAATGTTTTTACATTGATTAAATGTACACATTTTGTGATGAAGTATGTACATTTCCCAATTTAAAATAGATGGTACATTCAGATACATATACAATCATGCATGGCACAATCACATTTTGGAAAGGGATGGATCACACATATGGTTATGGCTATATTAGATTATATTACCTAGTGATGATGTAACTATCTTAATTCAGTGATGCTCAGTGATGAAATCACCAAATGACAACATCTCAGAATGTCACTAAGAAATACATGACTGTGTGATTATGTGTATGCTCTTAAGGATCTTAAGTATTGGACAAGTGAAACATACTTGATTTTCCACATTAAAACTTTTCATTAAAAGAAAGGAAAAGCATATTGGTAAATTAAGTTTGGTCATATTATGTCATAAATTTTAACTGTATGGTCAAAATCGAAAGTTTCCTATCTTATACTATCACTTGTCTTTTTTATTAAGATACTTTTTAATTATGAAAAAAATCACATGGAGACTTTCATTCTGTAATATTTGAAGCATTTATTTTAAGGTAGACTATATATTTCTTGTAGGTATGGTAGAAACCATATACATCCCAATGGCTGAGAGTTGTGAGCTGTGTAACTAACCACTAGTGAGCCAATTTCTTTTGTGGTTAGGTATCTCTAACCTTTCTTTTTAAAATGATTTTAGTGATTGTATTTCTTGGAATATTGCTGATTTCATCTCACTTTCCAGGTTTATTGGCTACATTTAGAAATAACATTCCTTTTTGATTGAAATGGTACCATATCTGTGATTTTGCCACCTTTTCTTTTAAAAGAATTTTACTGATATATAAAAATTGTACATATTTATAGGGTGATATATTATGATGCTTTAATATTGATATAAACTGTGAAATATTCAAAATAGTATTAACGCATCTATCTCCCTAACATTTATAATTTCTTTATGGTGAAAACATTAAAATTCTTTCTTCTAATTTGTTTGAGAAAATTTATACTGCATTGCCCCCTTTCAGACTTGTGAGCTTTTATATCCTCCTTGTCTCTGTCTTCCTGCCTCTCTCCTGCCAGTTTTCTCTTTTCCTTTCCAGACTGCCAGCAATATGTTTGTTTTGTTTTCTATGCTTTGAGTTTACTGTTTTCATTTTTGAACATTTCTGTGTTTCATGTTCAGCTTGCCTGTGTATTTCCTACTTGTGTGTTTCTGCATCTCCATCAACCTAATATATGTTTTCATTATTAACCACTTCTAACCATTTTCAAACTTAAATTTTTTATCTGTAAATGTTTAAATAGTGTTTTCAGTTTCCTAATGCACTAGTTATCTTTTTTATGATTGATGTCTGCATGCTTTTAACTATGTGTGGAAAGTTGCTTTGTATTATAATACTTGTCCACATGGTTTTGAAAGCAAGTTGTGCTCTCAAGTAGTGGGGTACAGGGATCAATATTTATTTATTGGACCAATTGTCCTGATTCAGCTCAAACTTTCCTTTCTCCTTTTTCTTTTCTTTGTTTCTTTTTTTTTTTGTGGTGGTGGTAGAAGGGGTTTCTAGTTTAGATGTCAATCCTTTACACAAGCTATGGATTTTTTCCCCCTGAGATTAACTTCTGCTTGCTTTCTATATTTTGTACTTGTATTACCATGTTCATCCCTGTTAAGAGTAGTAATCTTCCTAATAATTACTTTCATCCCTATGTTAATTACCCTCTTTACACACAAAGTACTCCATTCCTTAACATCTGTTCAGTTTGCTAATTGCACAGATAAAATAGTTCTTCCTCAGGAAATATTTCCTAGGTATATTTTCCCTTTTCCTCTCTTTTATTGTTTATACATTAGGGTTTTTATTGGATATAGCTGGCTTTGCATTTTGATTGTCTCTATTATATGCTAGTTTTAATCTTTTAAAATTTGCTGTACTTACTGATAAGTTTGGATTTTTGCCATCAGTTTATATCCTTTTTGTTTCCCTTTCCTTTGCTTATTCTTCTCTTTCTCTATTTTTTGACTTTTTGTGTGTTTTGTTTTGCCTGCTATCTGAATTTGTAGTGTTTTCTCTATTCTTTTTACTTGCTTTTATGCACAGAATCACGTGTCTTCTTAGTAGCTACCCTCCTACCTTTATAAAGTTTAACATGTCCCTATTGGTAGAGCCCCTTCCCTCCTACCAAACAAGCAAAAACTTAGAATCCTTTAACTTGGGATTGATTTCCATTGAGCTCGATATTTAAGCATTTAGTTTTAGTCCAAAAATATTTCATTGCTCTTGCTGCTGAATATGGTAAATTACATGTTTACCTCTGTTGCCACCTTTGTTTACCCATTTTGTTTGCCTAAAAATGATTTTTTAAACAGTACTTTAGAAGTTTCATCAGGAATTATTTGGGAATGGTAAACTTTCTCCTTCCCTAGCTAAAATTCCTTATTTAATTTCACATGTACTCTGCGATGATTATCTCACTGGCCAGAATTTAAACTGGAATATTTTGAAGGTATTCCTTCCTTGTCTACTGACTTTAAACTTTGCACCTTTGTAAGTAGCTTGACTTTCCCCTTCTCTGATGGAGTTATACTGTACATTTTTGTAATCTGCCATTTTAACTGAAGTGATTCTAGATTCAAATTTATCTGTTTGTTTATGTACTTTATTCTGTGTAATGTGTTTAAACTCAAATTGAAATTCACTAGTTTCCTTTTGGTCTGCTGCTTAAAATATCTGATTACTCTCCAGTATAGATGACTTCCTAAATGTTTTATTTGCTTCATTTGAAAATAGGCATTTCTCTTACCCAGTTGTCTTAGACCTCTGCATTAAATTATGACAGCCTGTTTTGATGGTTCAAGTACTTTAAGTTTAAGGATAATGATCTTTGCTTTCTATCTACTTACTGTTATGGTAGATTGTTTGCTCACATAAGTTTTTGCTTTTTTACTAGAATGTGATCTTTA